TTTATTTTGTGTTTGTGTGGCCAGCTCAGCCCACCAGGGGGCGGGGCTGGCTGGCATGTGGTGCTGGGGGATTGAACTGTGGTCCCTGTGTTTTGCTTAGCTTAGCTTGTTCTAAGTAGGTGCTTTAGACCACTTAGCCATCTCACCAGCCCATGCAGCAATGTTTAAAGAGCCCTGTGTCACAAACCCATCTAGAGGGGACCCAAGGCTCCACCGGCAGAAGAGCTGGTACTGACTCACATCTGACTGCCTGCCGGCGGGGTGAGGACTGAGCCACACACTGCAATGCACTTAGCCCTCACCTCCAGAGCGCTACTGTCGGCATCCTCACGTCACAGACCAAGAAAAGGAGGCTCAGACAGGGGACAGGCTCCAGGGCATGTAGGGTAGTAGTGACAGAGTTGGGATTTCAATTCAGACAGTTTGGGCATCTGTGCTACCAACCTCCCTGGCCTCTAACGGGGGACACAGGTCATGGGGGGCAGGTGCGGGAAGCAGGGCCTGACCCCCACCTCGTCCACGGGACTTGGCTCCCGGCTTCACAATCCAGATGTTGCGATCCCCTTCCATGTCCATCTGGGGCACCACGGCCCGCAGCTGCTGCAGCATGTCCTCGCAGCGCTGGACCTGAGTGTCAAGGTGCTTGAGCTCTGCCCCCTCACTGTGGGGAGACGGCGGGACTTGGGCGGGCAGAGGCCAGACCCCCCACCCTGCCATGGTCCCACAGACTAGCTGTGCTCTCCTGGATCAGACAGGGCTCTCCCACCCCACCCCACCCCAAGCCACCCAGCCTCACCTGGGCCTGCCCCACCAGACTGGGAAAGGCCGGAGGAATCCCCCATTTCGCCACAGCTCTCCACCCTGACCTTCCACCTCTACCACCATCTTCCTAGTCAAACCGCCTGGGGCAGAGCGGCACGGCAGCAACTCTTATGATGGGGCACCACGTGTGCAAGGCACTTGTGTCAGGGGCTTTCCACACATCATCCGAAGTCCTTTCAACAGTCCCTCCAGGGAAGCATTACTCATCCATTCTAGAAAGATGCATGCAGAAGCTGGAATGCTAAGGGACTTGGCCAAGGTGACACCCTGAGCTATCAGGGTGTCAGGATTCGAATGCCTGATCAGCTCACCAGAAGACGAAGTGATTTTGGGTTTCATTCCCCTCTGGATGTGGACCTCCCACTGGCTGATAGATGGTTCCTGCTCAATCTAGTTTCACAGCGCACTGTGTCACACCTCCCCTGGCTACTTTTCTCTGTCCATCATTCACCTCGATCTGATCTAGATGCTTATTTGGCTACTGCCTTTCTCCTTCCACTAGAACTCCTGTGTGTATGTGTGTGTGCACTTGCTTGCTTGCGTGCGTGTGTGTTTCTAGGCATCAAAGCTAGGGCCTCCAGAGTGCTAAGCGTGCCCCCTTCCACTGAGCTATACCCTCAGCCTGAGAAGAGGCATCATTTTTGCCTGTCTGATAGCACCACAAAAAAACTAAATAAACTAGTAAAATTAAAAGCTGAAAAATGCAGAGGCAAATATGAATTGAATGAATGAATGTTAGTTACCTGTACTGTCACTCAGGACTGAGCTTTTCTCTCACAGGAGGTAATATCTTACATGCTCTGACTTTTAGGAGCTTCTGATAGCGCTCAAGAACTTGCCTTCACGCTAGGAGCAGGAAAGGACTCAACAAGCTTTATGCCTTATGTTCTAACTCAGCCTGATAACTGAGTTTACAAAAGGTTACTTGGAGCCTGGAGTGGTGGCTCACACCTGTAATTCCAGTACTATGAGAGGCTGAAGCAGGAGGATCACAAGTTCTAGTCCCACCAGGGTGACTGACATAGGGAGACCTCTTATCAAAATAAAATATAAAAAAGGCCTGGATATCCTGGGGTGAAGGCCCTGCATTCAATCCCTAGTTCCAGGAAAAGCACAGGGTGACCTAGTTGTCTTCTGACATTCAGAAAAGACAGATGAATTATTTGCTAAAGACACTGGTCTCCATTCAGAGTCCATAGCATGAAGGAAGTCCTTGTGGAGTCCTCTCCTGCCACCACCTGTGCCTCCTGCAGGCCTGGGCTCAGGGCTCCTCCTGCTCCTGGTCCAGAGCCTTCTCCAAGTGTGCACACAAGGGCCTCAGTTACCCAGGACCTCTCAGCCTCAGGCGCTTCTACCCTTCTGGGGTTCACACTGTCAACAGGTTCTCAAGAGGCCTATACTCCTGAAACCTGTTTAATCAACTGTTTAACCCATGTCTTCCAAACCTGACTGAGGACTACAGCCCTTCTTCTTAAGCAATTAGCATCTCGAATCACACATCTGGAAGGGGCCTCAAGAGAAAATCTAGCAGCTTACATTACTGTTCTGTGAGAGACTCCGTGGGCCATGCTGAACACACACATATAAAGCCTTCACTTCTCCCACCTTCCAGGCAGACAGATTTTTAAATCTGATTTGCATTAGAGAAAAAGCAAGTTCAGAAAATAACTGACATTCTCAAGGTCCAGAGCCTGGACCCAACTCCAAGTCTGCCTGATACCTCAAGCCCCAGTCTCAGGGTGCCATTGTGCTCAGAAAGAAGTAGTCTGGGGTTTGGAGGCGGTGGGAGCCCTCTAGGGCTCAGGAGCAGGAGCTTGGCAGGATGAAAGCGTGTGCGGAGGAGGCGTGCCCCTGGGCCTGCCTGTGCCCCAGCTCGCAGTACTCACTGGACCACCTGGTAATAGCGCTGGAGGAAGAGCGCCCAGCCCTCAGGGCTCAGGTACAGCGGGGCCTCTGTGTCCTTGTCAATGTCCGCATGGGCCAGGCTGCCAAGGTGCTCCTCACACGCACACAGGGCTTCATCCACAAACTCTGGTGACACCGCTACTGGCTTCTTCTCCTGTTTCTTAGGCTGCTTATCTCCTGCAGACACAAGAAGGGGCCTGCCATTGTCCCCCCTGAGACAAGCAGTGTGTCACATGCCACAGTCCCTACTAGCTAGGGGCCTATCATTTACCCTCGGCCTCTCCTAAGGACACTTAATGTCCAGCTGGGCCTGGATTCCCAGCTGCCCTGGGCCTCACTGTTCACCTGAGGCTTTGCCCTAAATCTCCTGCAACCCGAGCGCGCCACTCTTTGTCCAGAGTCCCAGGTACTCAGCCCCTGAAGGCTCCACCCTGAAGTCTCCAAGGTCTCTACACACCTGAAGCCACTTCAGACACGCCAGAGGCCCTGTCTGTCATCCCTAGATGTTTCGGACTGGGCCAGGAACAATGAGCCATTTAGAGGCCAGTGCCCCGACCGGAACCCAACACCCACTTACGTATTGCAACACTGCAATACTGAAACCTGAATACTGAGATTTTAGTTTAAAAAGCAAAAACAAGGGCCGGGGAGATGGCTCAGTGGAATAAGTGCTTCCCTGGCAAGCACAAGGGCCTGAGTTCAATCCCCGGTTCCGCAAAAAAAAAAAAAAAAGCAAAAACAAAACAAAACAGAAAACCCCTCTACATTAACATATTTTGTCTTAGGAGAAAAAGAAGTAACACTTGTCTCACATAGATTCACTACTACTGGCCTAGGTAATCCAGGTATGCAGGACACCAAGCCTGACACAGCTGCGTAAGTCTCAGTCCCCCAGAGCTGCACCCAACACACCATGCCAGGAAACAGCAATGCAGAGTCTCCTTTGGAAGAGGCAGAGACACCTCTCCTTTCTGCTACTCCTTCCCCTCCATGAATTCCTGGTTGATAAGCCCTGGATTACAGCACTAGGGTCTTGGGGACAGCAGTTAGCCAAGAGAGGGATGGGATGAGCAACGGGCTGGGCCGGCATGCAGTAAGGGGTCTCCTGTGTCCCTTCTACTCCAGATTGCCTGTGTCCTTGGTACCCTGTAACATGGTTCCACCTCCACCTGGTCCTCAGAGGAGTCCTGCAGGCAGGGGTGGAGCATGTCTTCTGTGTCGTCCATCCAAGATCCCCCCCATAGCAGACCCAGGGAGCGGAGTGCTGATAGGGCAACAAGCGGAAGGAAGGCAAGCAGGTGTGTGGGAGGAGCACAGGCAGGCAGGAGACAGGAGGACGGAAGAGCAGGTAGGGGGCTGGCAGGCCTGTGCAAAGACAGCCAGAAGGATGAAAAGGGAGCGAAGGAAGGAGTGCGTGAAGAGAGGGCATGTGGGTGAACAGGCAAGCAGCTGAGAGAACAAGATGATGAAGAGATGGGGTAGACAGGTGCATAGGGTTCTGGGAAGCTGCATAAGTACAGATACTATGTGGATATGTGGTGATAGGTGGGCGGGCGTGGCAGGCAATAGGTGGGCAGGCATGGCGGGCAACCGAGTGGGACTTCCACACCACTTACCTGTGGCCTCTTTCCCTTCCTCCTGGGCAGAGTACGGCCTCCACTCTGACTTCACCACCAGCTTGAGAACGTTGCGGGCAGCTGTCAGCCAGAAGTCCTCTGCTCCCGGGGCAGGGGATACCCTGCTCAGCCCCTAGGCTCAAGGCCTGTCTGGGTTCTGGAACCTGATCATGACTTGCCCCATTTTGGATCCAGAACCTGACTTTCCTTTTTTTATCTCTAAATGTGGCTCCTGTTCTAATTATAGAATCAGACCTAGAATGTGACTAGGCTTGGCAAATATTCTCTTTATAATCTGGTCTAAATCTGCTGCTCATCATCTACTCTGATGCTCATTCTAGTCTGAGAATCTGATTTTTTTTTTTTTTTTTTCAGTACCGGAGATTGAACTCAGGACCTTGTGCTTGTCAGGCAAGCAATTATTCTTTCTACTGAGCTAGCTCCCTGGCCCCGCAGAATCTGATCTTGATCCCAACGATTTCAGAAATACAGCACCTAATTGAGTTCCAAATTCTGAACCAAATTTAGAACACTTTGGGTTTAGAACCTACTCTGTCTTAGGAACCCAGAGACAACCACCTTTTCTCAGAACTGGATCCAGCTAATAGAATTTATTGTAGGCCTGGAATCTATGCTGGGTTCCAAGCATGACATGACTTCTAGAGCCTGCTTTAAAATATGAGCTAAGCTAGCTGAGCTTTTCTGGAGGTCCAGGCTGGCCAGGCCAGCAGGCTCACAGTGGAAGGAATAATAAAGAAACAAAGGGCAGGGATGGGGGAAGGTCTGTGGAGGCAGATGAGGTATTAGGAGAGGCCTTTGCTCTCCAGTGAGCTACAGCATGAGGCCCTGTTCTCTCAACTGAGGGTTCAGTCATGGCCTGGGCCCACCTTACCTATGAAGGCCTTTTTATCATCCTCAGCACCCAGGCGATAGCAGCGTGGGAAGAAAGACTCAGCATCAGCCTCATCAAACCACGGCAGATTCCGGAGGTTGAGACACAGCCCCACCTGTGGAGTCAGCTGCTGAGGCAGGAAGGGCAGAGGCTTCTCCACACAGGCTCGGGGCCTAACCTGCTCAGATCCACCTGCACACCTGCTCCGGTGACTGCTTTTGCCAAGGAGCCCCAAGCCCTCTGGTCTGTCCTCTGACCTCTGTGAAGAACTGCCTCCTCAGGGACCCCTCCCAGCCCATACCAATAACATGACACATACCTTCACCCTCACCACAGCCCTGCAAGGCAGGCCGCACCACGCCAGGCCTGGTGGTGCACACCTAGAATGCCAGCACTCAGGAACTGAGGCAGGAGATGTACTATGGTCATTCTGGGCTGCACAGTGAGTTCAAGGCCAACCTGAACTATAGAAAGGTGAGACCCCATCTCAAAAAACCTAAATAAAGATTAGAAAACCAAGGCTGGGAGAGGTGAAGCCACTTGCTGAGAAATGCAGGTAAGCTGGATTGGAGCCTTTAGGGAGACGTGTTCTGCTCAGGAGGAAAGGGCCTTCCTGCTCATGGTCATGGCCTGTGGGTCTGCTCCTGCTCCAGGTCTCATGTGAACCCTGAAGCCCATTTCTGTCACTCCGTCTACAGGGACCAGATATCCTGCAAGGCTTGGAGCTGAACCCAAGCCTGCCCATGATTCCCTGCCTCACTGAGGCATGAAGCCCTTGCTCTCCCAAGAATTCCCTTGCAGGCTTGGACAGCAGCATGGGGCGGCCAGTCCAGGGCTGGGGTATGCGCTACCCACCCACACCTGGGAGCCAACCTTCGTGGTAAAGGAGCCAGCGCGGGCATAGTGGTTTATCATCTGATCTTTGGCAAGGAAGCGACAGTCCAGCACATCCCGACGTGTGGTCCAGATAAGGTAAGGGGTCTCGTTCCGAACCATGCGGGACTGGAAGGAGGGAGGAGGTGGGCATTGGGGGTTGAGCATGGAGGAAAGAAAGCTCCTGGTGGCCCCAGGTCCAGCCACCTTTGTGAAAGGCCCTGCATCTTGTCCACACTTGGGAGCAGAAACAGCCAGCTCCATGAGGCCCTGAACATTGGTTGAGCTGTGAGAACAGGGTCCCTTGCTCCAGGTCTCTGCCTGGTGGTAGGACACAGTGTTAAGCAGATGGGCATGCAGCATGTGACAAAGGCCTTCTCATAGACCCCATGTCTCTGTCTTTCCTGCAGCCCAGGGACTGTAAAGAGCCACATGCTGGTGCTTGCTAAGCACTTTCCAATTTGTAAGCCTCACCCAACCGTGAGGCAGGGACCACCATAACCTCCATCTACCAGTGAGGGACGTGAGGGACAGGAAGGGGAAGTGCCCAACTTCACAAAGCTAAATCACAGAAAAATGCCAGCACTCTATACTTTTCTTGACACAGAAACAGCAATGTCAGCTGGGAGGCCTCACACAACTGTAATCCCAACACTCAGGAGGCTAAGGCAGGAAGAAGTAAGCCTGGGCTACATAGTGAGTTCAAGGCCAGCTTGAACTACATAGAGATCCTGTCCCAAAAAACAAAACAAATCCAACTTTACATAGAGTTCAACTTAGTAGCGATGCCACACTTTGAAGTCAATTCATATGCCTGTCCTCACCAGTATCCATGTACTTTACAATATCACATCAGCCTCTCCCAGGGCTGCCAAGTCCTTCCCTTGGCTTCACTTGCCAAGTGTAAGGAACACAGAGCCTTCTCTAGGGAGAATGGCCACACAGGGCACAACGTCTCAGCACTTTGCAGGCCTATCTAGCCTTTAGGGAAGCAACCTATTTTTATACAGATGGGGAAACTGAGCCTCAGGGAAAGGACTTGTTTGAGGTCACTCAGCTTGACACTTGCACTCTCTGTCCACTTGGAAGGATCCCCTCCCCCTCACCTGCTGGATCAGGCTGCTTTAAGGGCAGATTTGGTAAGGCATGGGGAGCTGGGGATTGAACCGCGGTCACCTGCACCTAACTGGGTTTGCCCCAGCAGGCACTTAAACAACTGAGCTAACCCACAAGCCCCCTCTCTGTCCACTTGGAAAGGCTCCTTCCAGCACCCTGCCTCATCCTGGCCACAGGGGCCCTCACCATTAAAGCATGTGTTCCATCCAAGTCATCGAACTCCAGAAAGCCATTGAAGTCAACCAGCTGTGATGGCTGGAATGTCTCATCCTCTTCTTCATCCTCTGTGGATGCAGAGCCCAGCTCTAATGAAACCTGCCCCAAAGCCTCCACGCAGGGGCACTGGGACAAAGGGAGAGGACTCAGGAGAAGCCACTTTTTTTTTTTTTTTTTTAAGACAAGGCAGGGTGTTCAGGGTCTCACTACTAGATCAGACTCATAGTGATCTGCCTGTTTTTGGTACGGTCAATCAAATTCAGGATCTTATGCTTGCCAGCCCAGAGAGGAAGCTTTTGGACAGGGAGGGAACCGCTTACCGTCTGGGGCAGTGTCGCTATCGCCCACCACTGAATTTTCCACGTCTCTTTGGCGAGGCAGCTGGGTGACACCTGCCTGGTGGGCCATCTTCTTCTCCACCCAGCCCCTCCGGCGTAAGAGACATCGGATCACAGGGTATCGGCCTTGGATCATAAAAATCTTCTTTTGCTATAAGGTGAAAGATGGAACTTTATTAATAAGCATTGCTTGAAGGCCAGAAAGGGGACACAGTGGCAAAGCACTTACAGCCTCTGTCTCTCCCTGTAGGGCAGTTTTATAGTCTACCAGGTGAGATGGCTCATACATACAGAGAGGAAGGTGAACAGTACCATGCTGATGGTAAAATAATATTAATAGGTGAATTAATTACTCCAGAGGCTGAGGTGGGAGGATCGCTGCAAGTTCCAGGCAGCTGGCTACACAGCAGGTTCAGTGTTAGCCTAAACTACACAGGGAGACTCCAGCCAGAGATATAGCTCAGTGGCACAGTGCCTGCCTGGCAAGCACAAGGTCCTGAGTTGGCTCCCTGGGACCTAAATAAGGATTTTTTTTTTTTCCCTCCAAATGCCCTGAGGGGTGGTTTGGCTGGCTGGAGTGTTGTGGGGATCGAACTACAGCAACCTGAGGCTGAAAGCTTTGCCGAAGCAGCCACTTAAAGAACTGAGCTAGGGCCAGGTTCCTCCTGGGACCTAAATAAATAAATAGCATAGATTTAGATCATACTACATGGTAGGCATTTTTTTTTTTTTTTTTCAGAACTGGGGATTGAACTCAGGACCTTACACTTGCCAGGCAAGCACTTATTCTACTGAGCTATCTCCCTAGCCCCCATGGTAGGCACTTACATTTTTTTTTTTTTTTTGCAGAACCAGGGATTGAACTCAGGCCCTTGCACTTGCCAGGGAAGCACTTATTCCACTGAGCCATCTCCCGGCCCCTAGGCACTTACATTCACTTCTAACAACAATAGGCATGTTTAGTAGATACTGTTACCTTTGTCTTATATAGAGTGATTAAGCAGCAGGAGCAAGGCCAAGCCTGTGGTTAAGTGAAAGCATATGACCTCTTTCTTTTAATGCTGGGGATTGAACCCAGGCTCTGGCAGAGGTAGAACACATACTCCAGCACTAATCAACACCCCAGCCTCAAGGGCAGGGGTTTAAATCTAGGCAGAGTGGTTCCAGGCTGAATACTGGAGACTCAGGGACACGACTGAGAAATGCAGTTAGGGAAGGATGAAAAGGAGTCACTCATGTATATGGCCAAAAAGAAAAGCACATGCACAGAAAGAACTGAAAGCAGGGGACAGAGAAGGGGTCAGGAGAGGAGCCCCATTTGCAGGAGGCAGGCAGTACGGCTGCAGGTCCTGAAGCCTGGACTTGGTCTTTACATTTCAAGTGGTACGCAGCAATAGAGGCAAATGTGGGCGAACATGGTCGGTGGCTTGGAAAGTTTGTCTTGCTGCAATCTGGAGAACAGAAGGGGAAACGGGGCAGCCACTAGAAGGCTCCTGTCACAGATCTGCAGAGGCTTAGACAAGTGTGGTTATAGCGGAGGCAGAAGGTGAGGAAGTGAGGAGGGACTCGCTGAGTGGACTAGAGGGGCTGAAGGTGCAGGACTGGATTTCTGGGTTGAGCAACCATGAGATAGGGAAGCAGAGACTGGGAGAAGTCAGGTTTAGCAGGAGAGTCAGTGTGGTTTGGGATGCGGGTCTGAAACACTGTACACCCCCTGAGCAGAGGTTGGGGTGTTCTGAACTGTGTGCAGGCAGCGGCAAGGGCTACCAGATTTGGCTCCTGGAGGTCACCAGGGACTCCATGGAATGGATTCAGGTGGGAGTCGTGGAAGGGATGGGGGGGTGAGGCAAAAGGTCTGATGACTCCAGCAGCAAGTTCCACCCTGGAGAGGAGTGAAGACATGGGTACTTAGAGATGGGTGTGGGGACAAGGGCAATGTGCTTTTTATTTGTTTGTTTTTAATTTATGTATTTGACACAAGGTCTCACTGGTGATCCTGTTTTTAGCCTCCCCAGTGCTGAAATTATAGGCGTGCACCACCATGCCTGGTACCTCCGTGGCTGCTCAGTGTGCCCAGTGGCCACGGCCCATGCTGCAAGTGATGCCAGCGATCAAACTGTGGTCCCTGTGCTTGCCTAAGCAGGCAGTTAGTCCGTTGAGCTATCTCACTGGCCCTGTTTTGTTTTTTTAAGGATGTGACAAAATAGCACGTGGGGTAGCCAGGCATGGCTATATAGCCAGGCCTATAATCCCAGCACTGTGGAGACCGAGGCAGGAGGATTGTTTCTAGTTCAAGACCAGCCTGGGCTACAAAGTGAACTCAAGGCCAACCTGAACTGCATAGCGAGACCCCGTCTTGAAAAAGACAATAAATAAATCCCCCCAGCCCCCACTCCACCCTACCCCCATCTTTCCTCCTCCCCCTTCTCCCCGCGGACCTTGACAGCTTTCTCCACGTGGATTTTGGCGTTGCGGAGACGGCCCATGTGAGCTGCTCTGGAGAATCCCGGCCAGAGGACGAGGGGCGCTGCGGGAGACGCAGGAGGGCAGTAAGGTTATGGGCCTTCTGTGCGCTGCCTCCAGCCGCCCAAACCTCTCGGCAGCCTCACCGTCGCCTCGCGCGGGGTCATCCGTGGGCTGGGGCTCGGCGCCCAGGGCGTGTGCGCGTGCCCCCGGCGTCTTGGGGACGCGGCCCGGGCAGCGCGCAGAAGCCGGGCTGCGGAGTTGGCGCAAGAGGCCGGCACGGCCCTGGCCGGGCCA